CTACTGCTATCTGTAAGATACTAAGACATTAGAAAGTGTCCAAAGGAGGGCAATGAAGATGGTGAAGGGCCTTGAGGGGAAGCCATATGAAGAACAGCTGAGGTCACTTGGTCTGTTCAGCCTGGAGGAGACTGAGGGGAGACCTCATTGCAGTCTACAACTTCCTCACAAGGGGAAGAGGAGAGGCAGGCACTGATCTCTTCTCTGTGGTGACCAGTGACACGACCCGAGGGAATGGCCTGAAGTTGTGTCAGAGGAGGTTTAGGTTGGATATTAGAAAAAGGTCCTTCACCCAGAGGGTGGGTGGGCACCGGAAAAGGCTCCCCAGAAAAGTGGTCACAGCACCAAGCCTGACAGAGTTCAAGGGTTTCATGCTGTGCTTCTATAATGCTTTGTTCTCCATTAGGAGGATGATGTGACACAAATAGTCATGAGGTCAGGCAATTTAGGGCTTTTTTAATTTTGACAGAAAAAACATTTTCTGTGAAAGTAGGTACATTTCTCTGAAAATTATTTCATTTTTACTGAGAAATATTTATTTATTTATTTATTTATTTATTTATTTATTTAAGCAACATTCACTTTAATAAATTAAATGCCAGTCTCTGAGACTTCTATCTCCCCTTAGTGGATGGATATTTCATCATTTTGAGAAGCAACGCAAACAGAGGAGCTTTGGTTTTCCCATGTGAGCATCGCGTAATTGTAAAGTGGTTTCTTTTCGTGTTTGGCCTTTCTGGACAGGAATTTCTATTATCAGCTATCCTACATGAACAATGATATCACCAAATTCTGAGGAAGTTCTGGTTAAACTCATCCTGTCTCAATAAGATAAGAAAAATTACAATGATACCTCTCAGCCAACATACACAAGTACAGAAGGCAGTGTACTCTTTTCTGATAGAGAGTGTGAAAAAAGGACTGAAATATGGGCAGGCAGATGCAAAGAAGATGAAAAAATTAAGATTCATTTTAAAAATCTTTAAAGAAGAGACACAAACCATAGCCATGACTATAAATTTCGTACTCCTGTATTATATGTATAGAGTGATTTTTATAGAGTCAAGAATTGGCCTTTTCCCCAGACTGCTTCATTAAAACCCAATGCACTGAGTTTCTATCCTTTTAGAAAATTATGATCTACAAATTCAGATACAAAATTTAACCCATTTCCTAACTTGATATCCTTGGGTTTTATTTGGCTACCTCTAAAAGATGTAATCTCCATTATATCATGATGTCTTGGTGAAATAAACAGACATAGCTCTTAACTGTTTGCTGAACTATCGTGACTGCCTGCATTGCTCTTGGGGCACTGAGTCACACACCAAGGTGGTCCTGGAGAAATGACCAACAAGATAAGTAGAACCCATGACCACAGAAGTCTGTGCAGCATCTCAGAGAGGTGGTGTTCTCCTTTATCCAAGCATCTTACCTCTGAAGGTCAAAGTTCACGAGAAGAGACACAATTCCCAGATTTTCAGATTTTGACTCTGTTTTTCCACACAACTTAACTTTTTTGTCCCTGATTCTGCTTTTGACTCAACAGCTAAATATATGATATTTTCATGGAATCTCTAAAATTTTCACTACATTTTAAAAAATATTTTGTATATATAAAATGTCCAGTTATTGAGTTATCCATACAGCATTTGAAGTTCAGATTTTGTTGAGCTAGAAGACCTCATGTTGGATGCATAAGTAATGATCCTCTGTTATTGTCTATCTTTGCTCCCTCCCACATCTTATATCAATGAGTGATGCAGGACAGCTGCTGTGATTCATGTCTTGCCACTATTTACATACTCTACAGCCCTGAGAGAGTTAAAGCTAGGAAACATCACAGACTGAAAATATAGCACTTTTTTCTTCTCATCACACTGAAACACATGGTAAAAACACTGGAAAAAAGTAAATAAGAGGATATTCGAGCCAAAGAGAAAAACATCTCTTTTAACTTCCAAGTAACACTTCTGCTTATCCACAGATGGATGCTGGCAGGATTCAGGAGCTGCTTTTCATCCAGAGCAGCTCATTGCCACTGGCAATTATAACTAAAGAGACACTTCATGGATTTTCTGGGGGCATTTTTCTAGACTGCACTGCTTTAGCCTCGAGGCTAAGAAAAAAATTCTGCTCTTTGCCTTAGGAAGTATATACTCATTTTATTTGTTCATACCTCCTTTTCCCACTTCTATTAATCACATAGATCTAATTGCAGGTTGGGGAGGAGAGATGATAAATACAGCACAAAGACATGAGGCACTTCAAAGGGTTTTCAGCAATAATCCCTCTTCTAATAGTTGTTGCTGCCTACTACAATGCTCTGATCTCTTTTAACTCTCAGTGACCTCAACAACTCAATGCAAACCAGTGGCTCCCCTCACTCTCTACACTTTCTGCTTTGCTAACCGCTGTGTTAGTATGTGAGGCAGAACAAGGGTCACAAGTTTTTATCTTGGTAAGGGAACTCCCCTGAATGTTAGAGTGCCTCTGTTTAGTGCCTTAGCTTAGTAAATTACAGCTTATTCTCAATATCCAGGGCAGCATTCATGGCGTAAGAATGACACACGAAAAAAACAGGATTAAATACAGCTAAATCAGTATATATGTAACCTCTACTCCCACTTGCAAAAGAGTCAGTTGAGAGGACAAGAGATTGTTCAGTATTTAGATGACATCTGGTTTCATATAAGTGTTAAATCTCTAAGATGAAGACAGAACAAAGGACACTCGAATACAGTGTAGCTACTGAACATGACCAAAACAAAAAGTAAGCATAGATTGAACTCAATATAAGATGTTTTATTCCCTGAATATTCTTAGAAAAAATAAAAAACAATTTATTTGGTCTCTTTGTCTATATGTATAGAAACAGTCTTCAGAAAAATCCTAATTTTGTAATGTGGGATCTTGTACTGAAAATCAATAAAATTGTTCCTTACTAAGTCAGTCTTGCTTTAAAGTTTGTCATGTATAAAGTGTCATGTATATTTTTTGGAGCTCCTGGTCTTCATTATTTAAAAATAAAAAAATATGAATATTGGAATTATCCAAAATGTGTATCACTTAATGGAAACTAAACAGGAAATTAAATGGGTGAAAAGAGATAGCCAAAAATTAACAGGAGACTCATTTGAAGTTTGCAAGTATTCTTTAGAGTTCTTTTAAAATGAGTTAATAAAATTTCTATAACTCCATTTCACCCACGCAAATCAAGGCCTTCTGGAGCACTGAGTATATCCAAAATACGGAATTAGCTGCCAAGCCTGTCAAGAAAGAAATGGAGTTTTCTAAAGGAAACTACTAAATGCAATTACTGGGTTCACAGGTCTAATAAGAATTCCTGAAATGAAAGTTTCTTTCAGTGTTTCAATCATAGACAATGTACTTGCAGAAATAAAAAATCTATGGTGTGGGAATCATGATGAAACCAAGAGAGATATGTTTTTTGGTTCTCAATTTGAAAATGTTGCTTTGTTCAAGTTTAAAAAATAGTGGAAGAAATTACAGTTGCTTATTTTTAACAGTGGCAGCACATTCCTTGGGTTTTCATCCACTTTTAGTTCATGTGTTTGTTCATTCTGAAATTCATCCCTCTTACAAAGAGTCAGCATATTCAATACTACGTGACATAAATGCTTGGAGTCCAGTTGTGCGCAATATTTGTCACAGACCTTCAAGCAAGTACTTTGGTCTTAGAATCATAGAATCATAGAATCACCTAGGTTGGAAAAGACCTCCAAGATCATCAAGTACAACCCTTGATCCAACACTGCCGTGGTTACTAGACCATGGCACTGAGTAAGTCAGTGCCATCTCATCTTACAAACCAGTCTCATCTTACAAACCTCCAGGGACGGAGAATCCACCACTTCCCTGTGCAGCCCATTACAATGTCTGATTACTCTCTCTCTAAAAAATTCCTTCCTAATATTCAAACTAAACCTCCCCTGGTAGGGCTTAAGATTGTGCCCTCTTGTCCTACTGCTGGTTGGCTGGCAGAAAAGACCATGCCCATCTGGCTACAACCTCCTTTCAGGGAGTTGTAGAGAGTGATGAAGTCTCCCCTGAGACTTCTCCAGGCTAAACAACCCCAGCTCCCTCAGCCTCTCCTCACAGGACTTGTGCTCCAGTCCTTTCACCAGCTTTGTTGTTCTTCTCTGGACCTGCTCCAGCACCTCAATGTTCTTCCTGAACTGAGGGGCCCAGAACTGGACACAGTACTCAAGGTGTGGCCACACCAGTGCTGAGTACAGGGCAAGAATCACTTCCCTGGTCCTACTGGCCACACTGTTCCTGATAGGATGCCACTGGCCTTCTTGGCCACCTGGGCACACTGCTGGCTTATGTTTAGCTTCCTGTCAATCCAAACTCCCAGGTCCCTTTCTGCCTGGCTGCTCTCCAGCCACTCTGTGCCCAGCCTGTAGCACTGCATGGGGTTGTTGTGGCCAAAGTGGAGGACCTGGCACTTGGCCTTGTTGAACCTCATCCCGTTGGAATCAGACCAACTCTCCAGCTTGTCCGGGTCCCTCTGAAGAACCCTCCTGCTTTCCAGCAAGTCAACACGCCCCCCAGACTTGGTGTCATCTGCAAATTTGCTGATGGTGGACTCAATCCCCTCATCTAAATCATCAGTAAAGATATTAAATAGAACTGGGCCCAACACTGATCCCTGGGGGACACCACCAGCTGCCAACTGGATGCAGCACCGTTCACCACCATTCTCTGGTCCCGGCCATCCAGCCTCTTAACCCAGCACAGAGTGCCCCTGTCCAAGCCGTGGGCTGCCAGCTTTTTCAGGAGTATGCTGTGGGAGATGGTGCCAAAGGCTTTGCTGAAGTCCAGATAGACCACATCCACAGCCTTCCCTCATCCATGTGTCTTGTGCTAGATCACAACTCCAAGGTGGATTACATCACAAATAAGTGCTAAAAATAGAATGCCTAAACCTCACACAGGAAAGGAGTCTCTCTAAGTCTGAAGTGGCTGAATAGACTACAATTCCATTTTGAACTCCTGACTTAGACAAATACACTGTGTTCGTAAGTCAGGTGAATTATAGGCTTATTTTTTTTCTGCTTATTTCTGTTGTTAAAGCAATGCAACGGGCCAAAAATCTTCCCCTTGATTGTACAAGCATGTTGCCGAACAATGCTTAAAGCAGTTCAATGCATGATGCAGTGAAAGCATAATATATGAATCTGGAACCTGGAATCTGAAATGAGATCTAGGGTCTGCTGGATAAGATTTTTCACTGCATTTTTTTCTTCTCTTACTGTCCATGAGAAGTTGAAACATATGTAGATGTTTAGTCTCCTATGGCAGAGGATTCAGGCCTCAAATTTGTTAAAAAAATGGTCCAACTGCATAGCGGAAATCAGGTTTGCTATCTAACCAAAGGCACATGGTTCATCCACATGCCTCTGACTCAGAGGACCCACTACCCCATGTGAATATCACTTACATTTGTGAAGCTGATGAGTTTGGAGCACAGGGAAACCTGACAGAAACCCACCTGTGACAGCCAGCATATTTAGTCTCTTGAAAGACTGTATAATTTAAAAAGTATTGTCATGCCCTCACCAGAGGTTTCTAACGTGGCTAAGTTTCTTTTAATATCTTTGAGCCCAGTCATGAGCTCCTGAGAGCCCTTTCCCAATTGTACTGCCATACAGTTAACCCACGACAGCAGGATACCAAGGTATCTTTTCTCACTTGCTATTCCTTCTAGACCACACTATCAAATTGAGAACCTTCCCAGCACTTCAGCTGAAGGCAGAAGGAGTTTTTTGGGAACAAAGAGAAAGAAGGGTAATTTTCTGTAACTGGAATGGAAGCAGAGTGCTGGACTTCACTCAACATTTTCAGCAGTACGGTATGCAAGGACTCAGCACCAGGCTCTCATTATTTATATAATAAAACCAAGAAAGGCTGAAAAATCACTGACTCTGTGGAAGCTTTCCCCTTGCTTTGAGCCAGACAGCTTGAGATCACAAGTTTTGCTGCTGATGCAAAGTAGCTTGTTCTCCTCTGTTTCTCACCTCACCTGGTAACTACTAGGTTAAACATAACCCGTTAGAGTCACCAGATCCACAAGTCCCCGGGCTCCTACTGGCTTCCTCTGAGTTACTCCACAGTAAGCCCATACCTTTAAACCTGTCAGCACATTTTAATTTATTTTAGGGTTGCAAGGCCCCCATACCCCATATAAATATTCTGATACCTGCTGCTGTTTCTTTTACTCCATAGTTTCCTGACAAAGACAACCACAAGACTACATTTAGTTCAGCCTTCACAGCATTTATTTCCCACTTTACACAAATGTCAAGAGGTATGGAACTGAACTTGCCAGTGATTTATAAGCATGAAATTCAAGTTTGTCCTTTAGTTGTAACTCTGATGTGTCTGAGTATTAGAGTTGTATCTGTGTGTATATCCAGTGCACTGAAGCCATTAATTCCTTGGGTGGTCTAGGAACTCCCCAGCTAGATAACAGTCTGGTCTGAGACAATAGATCAATCTAAAAATAAGTGATTGCTTCAAATCTCACTATGTTCACAGATGTTTGACTGACTGATAGAGAAGCTCTCCAGGTGGAAATGTTGGGCAAATCGAGACATTACCCAATTGGTCCCATTGTGTTAGTCCAAGCCTTACACTTTGTACTGACAAACATCTTGATTGTAGTGTCACAAATGTTCACAGCCAACTCCTGCTCTATAATTTATGAAATAATGCATAGTTGATTATAAACAGTCAATAGAAACACAAGAGTCTTTTGCGTGTAGTTATGATATTTAGGAGATGTTTTGATGTAGTTTAGATAATTTATAGACTGGTAATGTAGGACCATGACCATCTGGATTATGAGAAAAGAGCAGAACGGTGATCTGTTGAAACTCACCTTATCAAGATGAAGACATCATTGCAAGGACACTTGCAACTGAGACTCCTTTTGACACCAAAAAATGACCAACCATTTTGTCCAAGAGCAATGATTTGCTGTGCAAGTATTACATTTTGGTAGGAGCTTTACGTTATCAGAATCAGAGTCCTACTAATCTTAAGGTGTCTGCAAGTGTTTGGGAACTGGTCTGGTTTTGTCACCCCCAATTTCCTTTGTCAGAAGAAATTCTGATCCTATGCTTAATAAGTTAAATTGTCTATTTTGGGATTAAAAATCCAACTTTTTGATGTCCAGTTTCAGCATAGCAGCCCATCAGAGGCCTTTGGGATCCTTAATTATATAAGAACATTGCTTTAAATGGCCAGAGACTAAGTCTTATGGCAAAAACTGATTTGTTCAATCCTTTGAGTTCAGTTCCACTTGCCAATACCTGCTATCAGTTGCCATTAAAAATTGATGCACTTGTCGTATTTTTTTTTTGTCAGCAAAAATATATTAAAGTGACTTCATCTGGTTTCCTAAAGTCTACAAGAAATCTATTGCTGCCATCTCTTTGCTTAAGCAAAATTACACAGGTCAAGGACCAGACTCTAACATATCTTCCTCTTACATGTAGTGGTCATTGTGGAAAATGTACAACTATGGCATTACTAGTACTCAACAAACAGATCCTGGATTTCATCAGAATGATGAAATAAATCCACAGTAAAAAAAGCAACAATCAGGAAGCAGAATTTGGGCAAAGACAAGAAAGCATCATGTATCCTGTTGCATAATTTCAGAACACAAAGACATCTCTGGAAACCAGAGCACATTGCAGGACATTGTTATATATCCTTCAGTGCTATATAGAACAACAAAAATGCAAAATCTGGAAAACTGCAAACACCCTGTTCTGTTCTTTGGCCTGCCTACACAAATCTATTCTCCACATTTTGCACGATCTTACTTCCGTGATCAGTATACAGATTTTTATAACCATAAAGATTTATAGTCCAGTAGAACATATTCCTAGGAAAACTCTTTTAAAGTGTATTGAGAAGAATTATGTGAGCTGGACAAGCCAACAAGTAATGTACCTGAATTTTCTTTAGGTTTTGGAAAGTTGGCAGTGTTCAGCACCCCAATTCAATTTTAGGTACAGAAAAGGCCTTTATGGTATATTTCAGTCTAAAAATAAAAGTATTTGTTGAAGTGAAAGTGTTCTAAAAAGTGCTATAAAATAAGTTGAAAGGTCTCAGAGTTAATCCAAAGAAAGAAACCTGCATCTCGTCCTTCTGTTCTTCTTACACGCATCACAGAGTAAAGAATGCTCCACACCAAGAAGAGTCCAGAGAGAATGAACAATATAAATGACACTTTATAAGTAGTAAAGGCAATGGAAACAGGCTTTAAGTGATGGAGATTCTTTGTTTTGTTTCTGGAAAAAATTAGAAATTACAAACCTCCAGAACTGTGGCATGGAAAACTGGTGTCTGCAGTAACTTTTTGAGAATTTTGGCTTTAAACAAAGCATTTCCAGTACTTGATTAGTTCACCACAAGATAGGTCTAATCCAATCCTGATGTAAATCAACTGAAGTCCATGGAATAATCCATTTGTACCTTTCTCTCCTATTTTTTTCTTATTTTGCACATATTTACCTTTCTTCCTCCATTCACCCAGCCTGAGTTATCTCTCTAGATACAGCTCTACACAGCACTCACAGTGCTGCAAGAGCTATGCTTTCTCACCCTTTCCAAATGTGATTCTCCTTTCCCTTTCAGATCCAGTTCTCTCTCTTAATGTGACTTAATTCTAGATCAGAATTTCATGATATCCCACTTTCAAACACTCTGACAAGTCCAAGAAAGAAGGATGTTTTAGAAAGACAAGACATTTCAAGGTATCAGACAAACTTTGACTAGCAGCCAAGAAAATGGTTCTGCTACCAGCTGTGGTCATCTGCATGGTTGTGTTTAGCAATGTTATCATTAAGGCTGGAGCTGTAGAAAAGGAGGTTGATGTTCAAAGCAGTCTGTGTCTGAATAGTTTGTGGTTATGTCTGTTCTAGTAGCTGGCAAAACACAATATGAACCTGTAAGTTCTCTGATTTAAAGTGCAATAGTTCTGTAGTGGTATAAGTTTATAAATACTACAAATTCTGATATATTGAAAATCCCTTATCATGCTTGTCTTCTGTCTGCTACAGCAAACATGTCAAATTCCTTTGATGTTTCCTCATGTTATAATGACTTTTGCCCTCTGATTGATAGACCTATTCATCACTACCCTTTCTTGCCACACTGAATGTGTACACACTGTGCCAAATTTATTTCCCTCAGTTAATGATGCTCCCCACTTGCATCCTACTGGGAATGAGGGGGAACAACAAGTTGATCAGTTTAAAAATCTTGTTCAGCATGTGACTTTCAGAATAAAGGCCCAGGTATGACTAAATGTATTCTTGATTTCAATGGTTGAAGCTTAAATGCCTCAGTAGCTCACACAGAATGAACTGAAAAATGAAAAGAAGTTCGTATATCAAAGAAAACACTTAAAAATACTATAAAGGCGTGAAAAATTCTCACCTTCAGGGGATTCTCAGCCATAAACAGTCAATAATGTAGGTAAGTCACAGGCATCCTGGAGAACAATTTCAAGTGTCAGATCAGTACCACCATTGAATTCTAAAATAGTTCAAGTGTCCTAGCTTAAAAGAAAATCATATTAATGGTACAGGTCTGGAAAGGAAACATCATGTAAGTGGGGGTAAAAAAGTGAGTAGGATGAGATATATGACACATTTCAGTAGCTTCTACTCAAACTCTAGTTTTCACGACTGTCACAGTTTAATGGTAGAAGTAAACAGTATCTGTCTACTTGTGGTGTCTCATAGAATGGAAACTAACTTGTGCTAGAAAGTGGAAAAGTAACTAAAGATGTTTGATAAGAAATAGCAATAATTTGGACAGTGTAGTCTTTCACAGGAGATCTGTTTTCATGTCAAGGTTTTTAGCATCTGGACTTTTTAAAACAAATCTAAGAAGTTTATGCCTTAGATTTGTATACTGCTTAGGTTTAGATGTCTACATCAGGGCTAGAGACAGGTATCTTTTTCAAATGCTTCTGAAATGAAAAAACCTTAAATTTGCTTCTCCTCCTCAAAAATAGCATAGTCAGGGCATTCAGCTCAGTGAAGAGAAGAAGGAATATCTGAGTTCATTCAATGTGAAGTTTGATTCTGATATCACAGTTACATTTATGACTTAATATTATTTTCATTAGGTTGTAACCGCACCCCCTTTCCTGCTCCCCTACCTCCAGAAACTTGTCTTTTATTGGTGCATGGTGATCCAATTTCTACAGGAGGGACCGGGAAAAGCCTCATGTGCATTTTCTCATCATCTCATAGTGGGGCTGCTTTTGTGCTCTTGGAGTATGAGGTTCAAATTCCTTTTTTTTTAATGTCACAATATCTTGGACATGTGATCAATGCAGCTAAGGTCTTTCTAGACTACTTTTGTAGATCTAGATGCATAGTTTTACGTTTAATGTTCTTGGGTACCTAAGCATTGTATGGAATAGATTTCTTTCCCTGTAACTAACATCTGTGGTATGTTTGAAGTAATTTCAGACTTTTACTACTTGATTCCATAGCAAACATATTACTGAGTCACTAAACTAAAAGAGTGTAAAAGAAGCATGATAGCATATAATAAATAAAGTAAAATATTTATTTTCCTTATTTGAGCTATATAGGTTTGAAACTAACATCATAAAAATTATAAAAGTAAATTAAGTTAATGAAAATTAGTAACAAATCTTCTGCAGATGTCAATGCTTTTGTGAAAAAAAAAGAAGTGTTTGCAAAGGAAAAAGCAATTTTGTAGGAATCAAAAGTTATTAGTCAAACTACTTAGCAGATATTTTTACTTTAAAGAAAGACTTCCTAAGGGCTGCAAACTGATACGTTTGAAAATGGATGTTGATGAACTAGGAAATCAAACACTATTAAATTAGACCATCACACAGAGTACGTGTGTGTATTTAAATATTTACTTAACATTTAACAGACCCTCATAATCCTCTCTGCTTAAATTATGATACTTGGCAAATGAGCCATATGAACCAAACAAGTCAACAAAACTCTCCCCTGTTTAATCAGTTTCTTTTTATGCCAAATCTATTTCCCAACTTTTCAAGCACTACCCTACTATACAAGATACCAATAATCTCTAACAAGCTCTATGGTAATTTTTGCCAATCAAAGTTATGTATAATTTATACTCTGAAAGTGCTCTGCGTTGCTGAGTAAGATCTGTTACTATAACACAGATACTGTCTCCAAGACAGTGAATTTAAAACATCTGTGTAATCTTTGTGTGGTATGTAGAAATTCATCCTCATGCAGATATCTTATCTCAAGGTAAGAAGGAAAGGGG